GCCTGCGGGGGGGGGGGGGCGGGGGGGGGGGGCAAGTTCAGGGCTGAGGAGGGGAGAAAGAAAGGGGGGGCTGTGTGTGTGTGTGTGATTCATAGGAATAAGTATATGTATATTCATATTCTTATAATGGAGTAGCTAGTGTATTGTCCTAGGTAAAGGCATTATTCTACTGCCTGTGCTCACTATCCCATGTACTGAAATCGATCTGTGTAACTGCACTGCTTTCCTTTACTATTCTGTGCACAGTAACATTAACAAGAGTTCATCTGAAGCATTTTTACTGGCTCCTCTCATATCTAAAAACCAAACCACACGACACCGGAAAAGCTTGTTTCGAAAGAGAGCGTCCACACGGCAAAAGCACAACGAAACAGCAGTGTGCTTTTGCGGAAGATAGCATCCACATGGATTGGACACTCTCACATTTCAGTTATGATTAATATGGACCAAGTGGCCATCAGGGCACCTGTCTTATTTCCTGGAGGCCTCTTCTTTTGAAAGAATTCCCTCTTCCCCGTCCATGCACGCCTTTTTCCGAAAACTTTTTTTTGGAAAAAGGCTTCTTCCTCATAGAAAGAGGTTTACCACTGTTGGAAAAACCCCGCCATTGTTTTGACTTTCTGTCGAATGGCACCGTGGACACAAATATTGTTTTTCTCTGCCCCCTTGCCAAAGGGTCCCGCTTACTCCATTTGCCCCGGGAATCCTGCACCATGTCCCTTTAGAGCCCCACACACCCTCTGGTCTGGGGCAGGAGCGATCTCTTTGCCCCACGGCTAGTGGCCACCCTGCGGAGACTACGGAGCATCTGGGATCTCCTGCCCAAATCCTTCGCCTGTAGCCCATGCACTTAAAGCAGCATGCAACAGTCAGGGTTAGATCCCAGGACTCCTGGGCTCTCTCCCTGACTCTGAGAGGGGAGTGGGGTCTAGTGGTTAGTGCGGGGAGGGCTGGGAGCCAGGATTCCTAGGTTCTATCCAACGTTCCCTCTAATTTTTTCCATCCATGTGCGGAATAAATGTTATATGCACTGATGCATGTGCGGCCGTGCACCGCCAGTGAAAACACACGCTCCTGGATGAGGCACTGGGGGTGCTGTGCTAATCAGCGAGGTGGCTTTGAATGTCTCCTGGGTGGCCATCCAAGCACTCCCCAGGAAAACCTGTTCTAGCCCAGCTGTGCCAGCCTACAGGGTCACGTCATTTCTCTGAATGTGGTCCCCGCCCCCCGTCCATCAGACCAACCCTGCTGTTCCTCAGACTATCAGCTCTTTGGACAGGGACTGTCGTTCATTAGGTCTGTGCAGCGCCTGGCCCAACGGGTCCCTTCCAATCTCAGCCCGGGCGCCCCGATCTCAGCGGTAGCCGTAGGAAATCCAGAACCAAACCAGGCCCCGCAGGGCTGGGAGACACCGCGCTCTTTGCTGTTTGTAAAACCATTTATCCACAGCTGGGACGCCAAATGGATTACAACCAAAGACACACACGCGCGGAGAGAAAAACGCCCCCGCGCGTGCGCACGACACAACTGGCCCGCTCACCGCTCTCTGCCCCCTGCTGGCGTGCACCAGTAATGCTGCTGGGAAAACAAACGCAACAGCCCAGCCAAACCCAGCACTGGGGGCTTCTACCCTCCTCCACAGATACCATGTGGCATCTCGGGGGATGTGGTATCAAGGCAATACAGTGTGTGGGTTGGGTAAGGCACCCGCTAAACCTCTGGAAACCTGGGATTGATTCTCTGCTCCATCGCTGATTCCCTGGGCGAATTTGAGAAGACTGGGGATTAGGTTACAGTAGGCAGTGGGGAGGGATAAACCCAGAAACACATGGAGATGAGAGCGGACACAGATTGGGAAGTCGATGAGACACACACTAGGGAGTAGAACAGTGCACCGGAAAATAGATTTTCCATTCCCTGGAAAAAAATTGAGTTTTTTCGCCCCAAAATTGCAACTTTTTTTGGCAAGGAAAAAAGTTCATTTGGGGTCAAAATGTTTCCTGTTGGTTAATACTCAACAGTTGGACATTTCTGGGGGTACAAAACACGGCTCTCCAAAAGAAAAGCCATCGCCAAATGAAGTATCGAAAGTTTTGACATTTTCAAATTTGAAAATATCTATTTTGTATAGAAAATGGGGGGGGGGGGGGGGGGGCTGGCCTTGTCAACGCCATTGCTTGTTTCAAATGGAAACCAGCTGATTTGACCCTAAAGTTCTGCCCCGCTCTTAGGGAGCAGGTTTGTTTGGGAGGTGAGATTAGGGGAGGGGGAGAGGGGAGGAGAGTGGCGCTTACCTTGGGCAGCTCCCGAAAGCAACCAGGGCCCTGCTCTGGCAGCTGCTCCTAGGAGAGGAGCTAGGGGTCTCTGTGCCCTGTTGCCCTCAGGCACCGCCCCTGCAGCTCCCATTGGCCCCAATTCCCGGCCAATGGGAGCTGCAGAGTCAGTGCTCGGGGTGGGGGCAGTGGGTGAGGCCCGCCAGGGGCTGCGAGGATGTGCTGGATACATCCGAGCGGCAAGGGCAGGGCAGAGGCCCCCCGTCGGCAGGCGATTTCAGCCTGGGCGCCGCACTGTCCAAGATTCCCAGAGGGGTCCCCACCTCCACTCAAAACTGTTTAGTGGCCGGCACATGGAGAAAAGGTTAAACCCCCTGGACAAGACAGGGTGGGATTAGCCAGGTATATTAAAGAGAGCAGCTGGCCAGGGAGAATAGGGATGGGGAGATGGTTAGAGGGGAAACGGGGATCAAAAAACGGTGCTGATTACACACCAAACTGCCTAGAGAAACCCCACACAGCGATCCAGGCCATGAAGGGCAGGAATTCCTCACGCCGCTGGGTTTAGGGAGAGTCAAAGGCGGGTGAGCAACGCTCATGCTCCAGGGCAATTCATAGGGGTCAGGGAGGAAATCAACCCCCCCCCCATATTGCAAGGCAGCACCTCTTCCTGGCGCTATGGGGACTACTGAGCCCCTGCCCTACGGCGCAGTGCCCTGAAGGTACAGGCAAGCTCTGCCATCCATGCATGGTGCCTGCTTCATGTGAGACTGTCGGGGCAGCAGGCGAACCAGCAACGGACCCACACGAGCAGGAGACAGGAGCGTCTAATTGCTGCTTGACTCAGCCCATCCTGACCCCAGAGGGAGGGGAAGAGGGGTTTGCTCCTGACCCCACCCGCAGCCCCCATGAGGAGAGACGGCGCAGAGGGGCTGGGGTCTCAGTCTCAGGCATCTTGGAGGTCGGGAATGTCGGAGAGGATCATGGGAGAGCCCAGCTGCAGTTCCCCCGGGGCCCCTCCAGCCAGTCAGCCAGCAGGGAGGCAGAGAGAGGGGCTGAATCGCCCTGGCTAGGGGAGGAAGAAGAAAAAACAGATCAGACAGACGCGGGGCTGAGCAGCTAATCACCGTGAGCCCCCAGGAAGGACTGGAACCTGTGACCCAGGGACCTAGTGATGCTGCAGAGCTTCATGGGAGTTGTAGTTCAGGGGCTGTAGTCTGACAGGATGCCCCAGGAGCTCCCTGGGAAAGCTTAACTGTGGGTAGGGCTCCCCAGCCAGTCCAATGAGGGAGCCCGGCTCAGAGGACAGAATGAGATAACCCAGCTACTACTCCCATGATGCACTGCAGCAGCTCAGCCAGAGGGAAGCCATGGGGCATCATGGGAGATGTAGTTTGACCAGGGGGTGCAAGTTATGGAAAGTGGGGGGCAGCTGAAGAACTCGGATGAATGGACCTACAGGGTTAACGCAGTGGGGGGGCTGGGGAGCAGGATGTCCGGCAGCGGCTCTAGCGGCTTCGCGCAGCAGGGAGGGCTCACCTGTCCCTGTTCTCCGCCGCCATGTCAAAGGACTGATTGAGGAATTCCTCCAAATCGAACCCCACGCCGTAGCCCGCTCCACTGCCCTTGGGGGTCACCGAGAAGACGGGCGGCAGGAGATCCTCCACCTGTGATGGCAGCAAGACACAGTGAGCCTGGCACCCCCGGGCGCCCATCTCTCCCACCCCCGCTTATCGGCTCCCCGGCAGAGACGGAGCGGCCCCGTCCGGGCCCACCTCGACGGATCTGAGGCGCTGCCCTTAAAAGGGAAAGGCCCCGTTACCTGCGACTTGGAGAGCTGCTGCGTAACCATGGTGATGTCCGGTGACTCCGTGGGGACAGTGTCCGGCAACGGGGCTGTGGCGACCGGGTGCTGGTTGGGCCCTTTGACGCCTCCTACCGCTGGCTCCGGGGTCCTCTTCCCCATCTCCTGCAGGAAGACGGCCGGGTCCAACCCCACGCCCTCCAGGGCGCGGCTCGACGGCCCCTCTTGCGGCTGTGCCCCGTTAGGGGCCGTCGGGCCTTCCCCGGGTGCCAGCCTCCCGGCCATGGGCCAGTTCTCTGGGCCCTGGGCCCCAGGCCACGCCAAGCCGAAGGGGGCCTGGAAGATCTGGCCCGGGGCGTATTTGACGCTCAGAAGGCACTCAGGTTTCGACAAAGCTTTGTGGCAAGCCGTGGAGGCCACGAGAACTGGAGGGAAGGGGCCGGGCGGGGCCGGGAAGTACTGCACCATGTTGGGAGCTGGGCCACTGGCTGGGTCTGCAGTCATAGGCAGCACAGTGAGTTTAGCGCCACCGCCGGCTGGCGCCTTCTCAGGGAAACTCAAGAAATCCGACGTCGCGTGATCCATGGGCCCATTGAGAGCCAGTTTCTGATGATTCCGGTCAATCATCTTGGTCCATCTCTCCAGGAGGCTGCGGTCGTTCTCGCTCAGCACCAACCCGCCCAGCACGTCACCGCGCCGCAGCTCCTTGCGCTCCTTCTCCTTCTGCTTCTTCTCCCGCTCCTTGGCCCGCTCCTGCCGCCGCTTGCGCTTCTCCTCCCGCTCCCGCTGCCGCTCCTGGGCCGTCACCGGCTTCCTCATGTCCAGGGGCTCAGGGACGGAGCTCAGGGTGTCTGGGAACAAAGCACAGAGGAGTCAGCTCGCTCCCGGCAGCCCCGGGCTTCACCCCCAGCCCTGCCGGTGCCCCTCACTCCCGACCCACGAGGCCAGAGGCGTCCAACCTAGACAGCTGGCTGGGAAGGGCCCCCTCAGGGTAACGGCCCGTAGAAGAAGCATGGCCCACACCTGGTGAGCCTTCCTGTGTGGACAATTCGGTCACCCTGCAAGTAACGGGTACCAGAGCATGTGACCAGCCCACAAGCCTCTGTTACCTACCAGCTCTGTGTTCTTGGGGAACCAGAGCATGGCCACCTGTCCGCCCTGTGCTCTTGGGGAGCCAACGATGGAGTTACGACCGTTCGCACTTACGACCAAAGCTCCCATGGAGCGGTCGTAAAGGCGGTCCCCGAGTTCCGGACGCAACCCGCGCGTACGAACAGCGCGGTCGCGTGTAACTCAATGGGGTGCGAGTTACGAACGGATCCAGTTACGGCCCAGTGTTTGGTGTGTAACTCGTTCGTCACTCGGGGAGAGGCTGTACAAACAAATGCAAAATATCCCTCTTAGGAAGCATCAAGTGCACACATCCAAACTGGGACCCGAGGAAGAACTACCCCAGAAAAGAATCTGGAGGCCATAATGCGCCATAAGTAAATAAGCGTGAACAGAGTAACACTGTGAGCAAACATCATTCTGGGGAGTATAAGCAGGTGCAAGACACAAGCAGCTCCACTCCAGACCGTACTGTGTCCCGTTCTGGGTGCCACATTTCAAGGAAGATGTGGACAAACTGGAGAAAGTCAAGAGGAGAGCAACAAAAATGATCGCTCGTCTAGAAAACATGACCTGTGCGGGCAGATTGAAAAAACACCTGGTTTTCTTGAGTCTGCAGAAGAGGATTGAGAAGGACAGAATAAGTTTTCAAGCTTGTTACAAGGAGGATGAAAATGTGTTCTTCTTAACCTCCGAGGATAGGACAAGAAGCAACAGGCTAAAATTGCAGCAAGTGCAGTTTGGAATGGAAAGCAGGACAGATTTCCTGCCGGGGTGGTTATGCTCCGGAACAGAGTGTCTAGGGAGGCTGTGGGATTTCCATCTTGGAGGTTTTTAACAACAGGTTAGACAATCACCTACCAGCCGCCGTTAGGGCAGGGGACTGGCCCAGATAACTTACTGAGGTCCCTTCCAGTCCTCTACATCTCTGACTCTAGGAAAATCAGAAACAGAATCCAAGATTCCTGGCTCCCAGCCCCCGCCACCGCCCTGCTCTCACCACTAGACCTCACTCCCTTCCCGCATCCCAGCCTTTCACCTTTGTTCTTATTGCGCAGCGCCGACTTCAGCAGCGCGGCCTTGAGCGCCGCCTTGGTGTCGTCCGAGATGGCCCCCTCCCTCTTCGGTGGCAAGGCTTCCGGCTCAGCCTTTACCTCGGCCGGCCCCTCGAGGTTGGGGGGAGCCCCAGGCGAGGTCAGGTCTATGGTCTCCGGAGGGTAAGGGACTTCCACGGGGGCTGGCGACTCCATGGCATAGTCTCCCCCGGTGGATCCGGCGCTGGGCATGTCCACGTCCTGGCAGCGCAAGGGGGCAGCAGCAGGCGGGGCGGCATCGGCCGGCCGGAGGGCGGGTTTGAAGCTGATCTGCCGGCGGATCCCTTCGCGGCGCTCATGGAAGTCATGGATCTCGGCCACAATGGCCTCCTTGATTCGCTCTTTGGTGAGGACCTGCTTGTCGAAGTCGAAATCGAAGGCGGGCACGCAGTCGGGCTCGTCGTCCGGGTCGTGGTACTTGGCCACAAAGGGGTGCTTGAGGGCCTCGGCCACGGTGATCCGCTCGCGGGGGTCGAAGCGCAGCATCTTGGCCAGCAGCGCCAAGGCCGAGCGGTCGGCCTGCTGGTAGAGGGTCTCCCAGGGCACCGGCTGGCGGGAGGGCAAGCTCTGGATGTAGGCACGTACCCGGTCAGCCCCGATGGCGTGGATCACCTTGGCGGAGGGCGTGCCCAGCACCGTCATGATCAGCTGCAGCTGGTGGATGTAATTCTTCCCGGGGAAGAGCTGCTTGCGGCCCAGCATCTCGGCAAAGATGCAGCCGACGGACCACATGTCAATGGCCTGCGTGTATTCATGCAGGGAGAGCATGAGTTCCGGGGCCCGGTACCACCGCGTGGCCACGTACTCGGTCATGAAGTATTTGTACTCGTCCGGCTTGGTGCACAGCCCCCGGGCCATGCCGAAATCCCCGATCTTCAGCTCGCAGTTCTCGTTGATGAGCAGGTTGCTGGGCTTCAGGTCGCGGTGGATGACGTTGGCCGAGTGGATGTACTTGAGACCCCGGAGCAGCTGGTAGAGGAAGTATCGGACATGTTCCAGCGTGAGGGGCTGGGAGGAGTGGATAATCTGGTGAAGGTCGCTCTCCATCAGGTCTAGCACCACGTACCTGCCAGGGGGTGGGGAGGTCAGTGGGGAAGAGGACCCAGAAGTCCTAGCTGCCAGCCCCACCCTCACGTTCACTCACTAAACACCCCTCCCTAGAGACCCCAGAGGTCTAGGCCCCCGCACAAGTCTCCCTGCTCAACCCCACCTCTTCCAGAGCCGGGGAGACAACCCAGGAGTCCTGGCTCCCAACCCCACCTAGCTCTAACCACTAGATCGCACTCCCCTCCCAGGACCAGGGATAGGCCTCAGGAGCTCTGGCTCCCAGCCCCGTACGCCACTCTCCTAGGGTTGCCAAATGGACACACTTGACATTACATCACAACCTACATTCCATCTTATTTAGAAAATACCAGCCAGTTCTATTGTCTCAATTTGTTTCCCGAACAGAAAGCTCAAACACTGGACTGTCCGGTTCAAAACCGGACACCTGGCGACCCTACTCCCCTCCCAAAGCTAGGGACAGGATCTGGGGCGGGCGCTCACACGGATCTGAAGTCATCATAAGGCACCGCGGGTTTCAGGATGTCTTTGATGGCGATGATGTTGTCGTGCTTGAAGTGTTTGAGGATCTTAAGCTCGCGGAGGGTCCGCTTGGCGTTCATCACCACATCGAAGGCGTTGGGGATCTTCTTGATTGCCACCTGCTGGCCTGGAGGGAAACAGAGCAGAGAGGGTCAGAGTAGAAACGCCATCCCCTGCGCAGCCCTCCCCTATGGAACCCAGGAGTCCTGCCTCCCAGCCCCCCACTCTGACCCCTCTAGGCCTAATTCCCCTCCCAGGGCTGTGACTAGACCCAGGAGTCCTGCCTCCCAGCCCTCCTCCCGTTCTAACCCACGAGCCCCCATGCCCCTCCCAGGAGTGCGGCTGGGTCCGAGCTGACCTGTGGACCGGCGCCGGGCGGAGCTGACCACGCCGTAAGCTCCGGTGCCGATGGTCTCGATGACCTCTCTGACCCCTCTAGGCCTAATTCCCCTCCCAGGGCTGTGACTAGACCCAGGAGTCCTGCCTCCCAGCCCTCCTCCCGTTCTAACCCACGAGCCCCCATGCCCCTCCCAGGAGTGCGGCTGGGTCCGAGCTGACCTGTGGACCGGCGCCGGGCGGAGCTGACCACGCCGTAAGCTCCGGTGCCGATGGTCTCGATGACCTCGTACTCGGGACGTGGGGGGAGGGAGCCTTGAGGATGGCCAAGTTCTTGGCTGCTACGGTGGCCCGGTGCGCCGGCTCCCGCTTGTCCCGCTCCTCCGCCTCCTCCTCTTCTTCCTTCCGCGGCTCTGCCATGGTGCCTGCCCCCTGCTGAGGGAAGGCCGGGCAGGGGGAGATCAGGGAGAGGCTCCCTGAGAGAACCCAGGCATCCGGGAGTGGTGGTGCAGGCAATGGGGGGGAGGGGAGGTACAGGGCCTCAGGCAGCTGTGGTGGGGGAGGGGAAGAGAGAACTAGGAGAGGGTGGGGTCACAGTG